AAACCAAAAAAACACATGTTTTTTTGGTTTTTCGCTCAAAAACCAAAAAAAAACATTGGTTTTGTTGGTTTTTCAGTGACGTGACACCATGAAAACCAAAAAAAACATGGGATTTTTTGGTTTTTCGATCAAAAAACCAAAAAATACAATGCAAAACCAAAAAAACCAAAAATCCAGCTGAAACCAAAAGATTCTCTCCCAGATTTTGGTTTTTTGGTTTTTGGTTTCGGGCCTCCTCATTGAAGCCTCGAGTCTGTGTTCTAAGCCCCGTGCTTGAATGTAGGACCAAACAGACAGTGTCGGGAAGCCAAAGTGCACTGAGAATGCATCACAATTATATGATACACGACAAGCGCTCCGCGGGAAACATTTTCTTCTGCCAGCGGCTTGCTGCAAAATCCGGCTGATCGCCACTCCGCTGCGCGCTGAAAGCCGAACCATCTAGCTACAGTTTGTACAGTTCTTTCAACATGGAAGCCGTAGCTTTCCAGGCGTTCTGGCCCTTGTGCCAGTACGTAAATTGGGCAGATCGAATTTTTCTACGCAGCACATTATTGCCGGGCTTCCTGGATGCCTTCTTGATGTAGGTCCGGACGTGGCCCCAAAACCTGTCGATTATTTGCGTCCCTGCTTTCACGCGAAGCTTGCCTCCATCAGGAAGTGTGAGGTTGTACTCTTTGGTGTAATGAGGCTTTATCCACACCGCCTGTGCTGAAAACAAACCAAAACAAAGATGTCGTTGCTAGTCTATTCCTTTGATGAATATATTCTGAACGGAGATTTTAAGTGTATGCTATAAACATGAGTTTCATANNAGATGCTTTCTTGTTGATGATGACTTGCTTTTTCTTGTGGACCACATTGCAGTGCAGCATGCCTGGTAATCGAAGTTTGTACGCACGGGCTCCATCAGTATGCAACACCACTTTGCGATGCTGGAGAAGAGGCTTCCCGATCTTGCTCCACTCTGTTCTGCGGATAGGACCAGGACCAGGAGCATTCTGCTTGGTGGCAGGAGGATTCAAACGAAACAATCGTAGCGAGGATGGCCTGCCCCGTTCGACTATGCCGCACCACTGTTCCCATTTCATCTTCTGGCCCTCAATGTCAGGGTCCTCGAGGAGAGCCTTGCCAAGATCAACCTCGTCTGCCTCGACATCCTTCCAGATTGTACCAGATGGAGCCCCGAAGGTTATGGACTTTTCCTTGTGCTCTACGAATCTGGTCCTGGCAAGCTCCAAATTCGTGAAGATGCGTTCGATGGGCTTGTGGTCCACGTCCAAGATGAGGTGTGTAGTGACAGCGGATGCTCCAGCAACTGCGGAGTAGAGAGCACAAACCTGAACATTCAAAGGTGTGTGGCTGTTACCGGAGCCGCCAAAGAAGATGGGATGGAAATCGTGGGCCTGTACGAACTTGTGGCATTTCTTAGCTCCACAGCGGTATGCCAAAGCGTCACGCGAAGTGTGACGGATGAGCTTCCCAAGCTTGCCGAGACCACAATGTGGNNTCCTTGGTCAGGATGCGAATGAGAGTTTTGTTGCGCATATTCATGAAGTTGGAGATGGAGTGTCCCCATCGCTGCCTCTCGGTACGATTCTTGTTGGTGCCTTCTCCGTGACGAACGTAAGGGACCGGATGGTAATTCTTCATGGGCTTGGTCTTGCCAGAGGGCTTCTTGATGACGGACCGCACCTTGCCTCTTTTCGGACAATGCGCTGACCATGAGGACTTTTTGTGTCTTTGCGACTCATTTCTTTTCGGCATGGCGCTATACTAAGTTTTGATAGCCTTGAATCAGAACGCCTGGATCAGACAACATGAATTCCCCAACTACGTTTGCCTTGTTTCCGGACGAAGACCGAAAGCAGACATGAAACAAGTGCAGATACATCCAGCTGTGCATTTCCGCTCCGCGCGATCAAAACGGATGTCGTGTGCAAGATTATCTACCTAGAGCAATGCTGCAGGCGATTGATTGGCTTGAGGAAAAAGGACTTACTGCGGTGATGGCTGCCTCACTCCTCGATATCCATGCGGTCCTCGTCCCCATCATTGCTTGTCGGGTCATGCTCAAACTCAGACGCCTCCTCAAGGTCATGGTTGTCCGAGCCGTGCTCCGCAGCATCTTTTGTGGCCTCTGTGTCGTGCATCATCTGCTCCAAGTCCTTTTCCAGATCATCCTGAGACGTTGTCTGCTCGGGTGGAATGTCATTGGATTTGGCCGGGCTGGGACTAGACAGATTGATAGAACCCATCACTGTGGAGAGCTTGCGAAAGAATGCGGGCTCTTTCTTGACGGTGCGAAGCGGTGTTGACGGTGGGCTGCTGAGGTCCACGGTTTCTCCTTGAAGTTCATCCATAGCCTTCTTTGCTTTTTTGGCGAAGGTAGTTGCCGGGTCAGACGCTGAAACCTCTCTTTTGAGATGATGCTCAGCAGGGCGGTTACTCGATGGGGAAGGTGGCTCCTGCTTGACATGACTTGGTTGTTCTGCTGGCAGTTGGCGAGGCTCCATGCGAAGATTGCGAACCAGATGTTCCTGAAGTCCTTGCGCAGAAGACTCATTGACGGAAGAGCTCGGTGCTGGACGGTCCATGAAAAGCCCTCGTCCTCGATTGATGATGGTAGGACGGTATGGAAGATTGGCTTGACCAGCCATAGCTTTGGCCACCCAGTCTGCTTC